TGTATAAGAGAGGAAGATGGCGAAGAGAAGAGGTAAGAGAAGAAGAAGTCGAATTAATCACCCTTCTCCTCTAACCCTATTTTTTATTAATCTCTAAAAAATTGATGATGACAAGTATACCCTTATGTGGGCGGCCAGCTTGGCAGTTACATAAGGAAAATAAAATAAGAACAAATAACAGGCCCATTAAGTAAGGCCCTTCAACATAAAATAAAAGATAAAATATAGGATATCACATGAGAGGCTGTTAGGGCCCATTCGGCCCAGTCTCTTTACACAGCTCATTGTTATAACTCCATGAGCATGGCAGAAATGTGTATACTAAGATGGATGCATGGAAAAACTAGAAAGGACAGGGTCAGAAATGAAGTCATTTGAAGGAACCTAGGAGTAGCTCCAATAGGTAATAAAATGAGAAGAAGTATACTAAGATGGTTTGGTCACATGCATAGAAGACCTTTGACAGCACCCATAAGAAAAAGTGATCTGTTGTAAATTGAAGGGACTAGAAGGGGTAGGGGTAGACTAATAATTTAACAAGTATATGACATTAAATAGAATGGGATACTGAATCAGGATTCATGTAGCTGACTCCATATTGATGTAATGAGGCTTAGATGATGACGATGTTGATGATTAGAAAAGCTGGGTGGCTCAGATTGGGTTGGTGACTTGGCGGGCTTGGGCTATCTGAGGCCTGATGCCAAACCCAGACCGAGCAGAGGTTAGGTCTAACTTTCTAGGCTCAGGCCTAGCCTGTAGCCTGAAAAACTCCAAGCTTAATAGGTTTGGTTAGTCTAATATTGCATAAACAGGTTTAGGGCCTTTCCAAGAAATTGCTGACTCTGAGCTTTTAGTGGAATAGTCCTGTTTAGAAATTGCTGTTAATTGAAGCTTCTTAAATTATGGGAACTTTTAACTTTAATTACTGGGTGGAGGGACCTTAATAAGTTTTCTTTTAGATTTTTCCCTTATGTTATGGATTTCTTTTGAACTCTTGGGGGTGGGGAGTGTAGCATAGTGTCTATGCAGAGTAGATTAGTTTCAGCAAGAAAAAAAATGTATAGGAAATCTGCGACCAACAGTGGGTTGCAGTAAGAAGAGAGAAGGACGAAGAGAGGGAGAAAAGAGAAGAGGCAATTTGAAAAAATCAATCCAAGTCGTGGGAATTGAGAAAGTCCCCACAACCTTATCATCAATTAAAAGGTAATTTACATATATGTCCTTAATAGGGTGGCAGCAATTAAACAAATAATAACATTGTCCCTTTGGGCCAATAACAATACATGCTAACATCCCACTAATGACATGTAATAATGAAACAATATCAGCCCAATAAGAAATAAAAAGGATATAAATGTTGGCCTGTCAACTCTCCCCCCATGTTGGGAATAACTGTCTAGTATTCTAAACATGCTAAATGTAGTCTGTAGCTTCAGCTGAGAAACTCCCTTGGTGAAAACATATTCTAATTGTTGATATTGCCTTCATATAAGGGTGACACACTTTTCCAGATAACACTCTCTACTTGGAAAGCAACCTCTATCTCTCCAAGAAGACATCAAAACCAGGCCAAATGAGTTGATTCTTACAGAACTTCCTCTATTTCATGCAGCTAGCTGGGCTAAGATTGCATGAGAATAAGTCTCTTGGCGGAAAACTTGGCTCTGATACCAAGTAGAATGGTTTCAGCAAGAAAAAAACATTGAAAATTGTTTGCTTCAGCTTGGGTAATCCAGGTCCTCAGGTATAGATGGCCTTTTCAGAAATGGAGTTGGTAGCATCCTAGTGTTCTATTCAGGAATTCTAGGAATAGGTAATTCAACTCGAGGAGAGGTACATGGAGCACTCACAGTTTTAAGAAGGGCAAAAGCACCGAACATGAAAGGATTGAAGTTGAAGGAGATTCAAAAATAGTGCAGTGTGCAGTCAGTAAATTGCTCTCCTGGATTTCTGTCAACCCAGAATTCAAACATTTGAATGTATTCCAGTTGCTGAGGTCTCAGTCTATTTGGTGCCTGTAATTGATATTGATCTCTGTCTTGTCTCTTTCTAGACAGGTTTCTGATTGTATCTTCAATATTTTTCAATAAAATTACCTTACTGTTTCAGAAAAAAAAAAGGAGAATCAAAAATAGTTATTGGGTGGCTAAGTGGCAGTCAAGAAATAGCATGGAACTACAGATGTGATGTAAGAGGAGCTACAAAGACCAACAGAGGAGCTCTAATTAAAAGTAAAAACGGGCCCCACGAGCTGCAAATGGATTGGAAGATGAATTAGCACAGAAAGGTGTAACAAGGGATCAATTGTATTGGTGTCAAATTGGTTAAGGGTTGACACGCTCTCCTTGTATGGAGGTTAGACAAGGTTAGCCTTCCTATATGGGTTCTCTATTTGTTATACTCTTTGTTAAATGGGTTTTCTATTAGTTGTGCTTTCTATTATATCTCATTAATAAAATACAACACTGTTATTCAAAAACAAATAAAAATTGTGTAGGAAATCTGAAAACAATAGTAGATTGCAGCAAGAAGCAAGAAGGAAGAAGTGAGGGAGAAAAGAGAAGAGAAAGTTTGAAAGAAACAGTCCAAAGGGTGGGGATTGAAGGGGTCCTGACAATCTTTTATATTAATTATCAATTAAAGGGTAATTTGCACATATGCCCTTAATAGGGCAGCGGCAATGAAACAAATAAGAATGTTGTCCATGGGTCTAATAACAAAATATGCTAATTGCCCACTAGTCACACATAATAACGAAACAATATCAGGCCCAGTAAGAAATAAAAAGGATATAAATGTTGGCCTGTGACATATAGTTTTCTATCCACCTTGCCAGAATGCCAGAAGCCCAGAGGATGTTTCCACTGACTGAATTGGTTGGGAAAAGACTCAATACTTTTTGTACCATACAGCTCCTTTTTGAATACTATTTTGTTATTTTGTAATGATTTGAGCAATACTTTTTGTTCAGGTGGAGATAGTATTTGCACAGCTTCTTACTGTGTAGGTGCGGCCGTGTGGGGGTGTATATTTTCTTTTTGAATGCAATACATTACCTTTCTTCAAAAGAAACTGATAAAAAAAATCGTTCTTTTGTTTTGATTATATATTATGATTTACTTGGCTTCTCGTTTTGATGAGCTCTATTTGGAATGATTGTTATGACTTGTGAGCTAGCATTAGTAATAGAATGCACTAAGTTGATTGACATCTTACCTTTATTCTCCTAGGGATGGAATTCATTGGACACTATTATTGCAGCAGAAAGCCTGGCCTTGACCCTACAATCTGTTGGAAGCCTAATAGAAGCACAGGAGCTTCTAGAACGGTGAATCTATCATCAATGTACCAGTACATTGTTGTCGTTCATGATTACATAATGAAACTTATGCTTACCCATTTGCAATTGCAGATGTCTTGATGCCAGAAAATCCGTACTTCCCGAGAATCATATTCAGGTATTTGGTTTTATAAGTAATGAAGTAGTTCTTTCAGATATGTTTATTCAAGATTTTATTATTCTTCTGTTTCATTAATTTTTTCTTTTGGATTATCCAAGAGTAGTAGTAAAGCATTTTCTTCAATGTATGGCTCCGTTCAACTATATGTATCTTCATAGTATGAAATTTGTCCCTCTTGTTTATCCCAATCAAGTGTTTTCTGTATACAGAAAATGGGAAGATGAACATCTTCATCCACTGGGAAGTTTCTGGCAATGTGAAAATTCCTTTCAGAATATTTGATGGTTCACGGGTCTCTTAAGGGAGATTTCAAATCTTTACTCATGTAGGTCAAATGGTCTTTCTGATTTGGACACTAAAATTATTATGAGGTCCTCCCACCCAAAAGCAATTTCTTGAGTTTCTTCAAGGGCTCGGGTAGAAGAATCTTTGAGTAGACAATCTAGTATTTGGTGGAACATTGCACCAATATTTAGAGATCAATGGTAGTATGTTATAATGTTTAACAACCATGGTAGTTGATCTCCCTAGGATATCAGTGAATATTTCCATGATGGAAACTCTGAAAATTCTAGAGCCATGTAATCAAGAAATTACTTGTTTCATCTTTATTATCTTTAATAAAATGGTTCTGTTATTGATAAAAAATTAGTGGGATCTGACATTGAAATTCATGATTGGGAGTGCTTTCTTCTTCGAAATCTCTTCTTCTATCTTATCCCCTTCTCCACTCTACTACTGAACATGTTCTTGCAGCTTTCAAGACTGTTTTAATCCCTCCTAGTTTTTTTTTCTTACTGCTGTAAACGTCAAATCCATTCTCAACCCAACATGCTTCAATGAGAAACTTCCTGTTTTGGCTTGTTGAAAAATGAAACTTTGTATGCATATGTGTGTGCACGTGTTTGTTTGTTTCTATGCATAGAGGGCCTAGAAAGAAGAGGAAAATGTTTGGTTTTGAAGGGAGAAAACCCAGGTGTTTGATTAGGTTGCAAAACCACGTTCCCTGTTCATGCTTTGTGCTCTCTCTGTAGGAGAACTATCTAAGCACTGTTTATATACTGTCATTTACAATCTTTCTTCAAGCTTGTAGATTAAGTACTGTCTTTAATATCAGATAGCATTCACAAGCTTCAGGCCACAGTTGCCAATAAGTATGCTTGGAAATTACCACAGCATTACTTATGCTATGATATTAAGCCACAAATCTTAGGATATTATGGAAGATTTTAGGCTTTTTCTTTTGGGGAAAAAATCTCTTATTGTTGCTAACAGAGCAATGTCATCTTACTTGTAAGTTGTTTTTATTGATTAATTGTATGTTATATGCTTTCTATTATTTTTCTATGGGAACTTGATGGCATGTTTCATATTTCAGTGAGACTGGCTAACCCAAGCATTCACAGTTACAACTAAACTTCTTGTCTCTTGAACTTTAGTTCTATTTTATGGTTTAGGGATCTTATGCTCTTCCTACTGCGTAGTTGTCTTTTGTTGACTTAATGTAAATAGAAATCCATTACTTTCTTTGTTCAAGTGCAGATTGGTGCCAACATGCTTCATATGGCAAGAATAGCAATGCTCTATTCTAACCAACTAAGGAAGGTGGATATTTCCAAAGCAAGTGCTGAGCTTGATAAGGCAAAAGTTTTACTGAACAACTCGATAAGGTTTTTCTCCCTCCCCCCCAACATTGATATTGCTTGTCATAAGGTCTAATGAGGAAATGTTGATTGTTGTAAGGCCATATCAAAACTATGTGATTTATGTTTATGTAAGAGTCAGTCATTAGGTAAAGGTCATTCTTGCTATGCAAGGTATTGGGATGGGTGGACTGTGCATGACTGCTCTCAGAAAACAACTCAGGTTCTCTCAATTGTCGGCCCCAGCATTTTACCATCTCACCATGTATTATAGATAGCCTTAATACCAAAAGCTGTAGGATTGACTGCTCTAGTACAAACTAAGATAGAACCTGGATGGAATAAAGACAAGTCAAGGAAGGTAATGATGGCTAGTAAGGTCTAGGAATGATTTTAGGTTAAAGAAAAGGATTGGGAGGGGTTAGATTTGGGGTCAAAGATTAAATGTAGGGATGGGGATTTTTTAATGAAACTTTGTAGAGATGTTTAAAATATTGCATTGTATGGAGTGGTTTATTTTGAAGGTAATTTGGGCATGTTTTCTGCAAAAGGATGAAATATTTTCCCTTCATGAGAGAAATTGTCAACATTCCAAAAATTAGGGCTTTATATGTAGTTTTGGGGATGAAATTTGGTACAGTAAGTTGATAATAACTTATTGACCAAATCTGAGATCAAACAAAAATTGTTTGGCATGAAAAAAAAAAGAAAATTGCTAAAATGGGAAAATGTTGGTGAGTATAATAGCTGATCAGTTCCAATCATTTATTGATTTTGAATGAACTACTTTGATGAAGCATTTCTAGGTTGTTGATGAGTATAATAGCTGCTTGCTGAATTAGAGAAAAGACAGTAAAAAAGAGAAAACCTCGAATCACTAAACAGGCTCTTTTCTGGAAATCATAATAGTAATATGGTGGATGTGAAGAGTTAAAAGGATTTTTCTCAATTTCTACCTGTAAACCCGAACCCATTGGATTGGAGCGCTCTGTTCTTCTTTTCTGTTCTTTCTTGCCTTCTTTCTTCTCTATGCCTCTCTCTTCTCATTTATGCCTTCTAAATGCCCAATAGGCTTGACTTTTCCATACTGGAGATCATTTATAGATAGGGTGATAGGTATCTAACTACCCCAGCCAATTAAATTAATACAAGTGGCCACCCAACTTTAAGGCCACACATAATTTTCATTTAAGAAAGACAAATGGGCTTTTTAATTGGGTCCATTTAAGTCCCTCTTCTGATTTTTAAAGACTTACATGGGCTTCAAAATATGCCCAATCATGTGGGCTTCTGATTTTTAAAGACCCATATGGGCTTTTGAACTAGATTATTTGTTTAAATATAACAAGATAAAACTGAGGGAGTTTGTAGTTTGAAAAGATGGCCTTGCTTTGGGACCCAACTTGTCTGAGGAAAGGTGGCAAAGACTCGTTTGTTAGGAAGCCATCCTATTTCCAGTTGGTGGATGAGGTCTATCTGTTTGTTTTGATTAGTTTGTGGGATGATAATGTTTTGGTCGGTTTGCTTCAGATGTTTTCTTGGTAGAATAGGTATTTGCTACTAGAAATCAGATATATTTTACTTTTTCATCTTGAAGCTGATCAAAAAAGTTAATTCCAAAATATTTTCAGTAAGAATGTATTATGAAATTTGAGGTCAGGTGGATTTTTATTATACTTGAGTAAATTTTTATGACATTTTCATTCCGATGTTCAGAATTTCAGATTTCTTATAGTTTGATATTCTTCCAAAGTGACCACTTGAGATTCTCTTTGCACAATAGGATAGCAAATCAAGCTTTGGACAATCTAAAACAGAAGGGTAGCAACATGCAAAACAATGGAGACCCTAGAAAAATTGGGAAGGACGAGCATGCAGCAATGGTCATACTGGTCTGTTTTCATTTTCTAATAGCAATTTAATATCTGAAAGAGATGTTTCTTGGTTATTTTGCTTTAATTCACTATTTTAGAGTGCTTTTTATCCAAGATATCTATTTTTTTTCATGGGATCTATTCTTTGGTCCATTTCCACACTTGTCAGAAGCCTGATCTTAAGTTTATATTTTATAACAAAAATAGTCCACTGCTACAATGTAATAATGACTGTAGTAGTCTGTCTCTAGATATTCCTTTCCCTACCTCTGACTTGTAGGTGCTATTTTAAATTAACATAGATTGCATTCTTTCTTCTAAGATCTGCATTTCATTTCTGACTTGTAGATGTTATTTTAAATTAACATAGATTGCATCCTTTCTTCTAAGATCTGGCAATTTCATTTCAGTTTAGTACATCATTTCCCTTCGGCTTCCAAGCATGGCAAGTATCCTCATGGCCACTTTGTATCTTGAGTATTATAAAACTCTAATATTTGTGTCAACTGAGAAAGTAACCAAGGATCAAAATTTCGACACGTATCGTACAGGAAACCTCCTGATGCGCCCCTACAGGGGGTTTTTCGGGGTTTAACCCGGTTCAGTGGGTAGAAGGGCCTTAGGCCGACCCCTCTGAATCAGGTTCACAAAAAAAGGGAGGGGAGTGAGGGCCGATACAGCCCGATAGGCCCCTACCGGCATATTGGGCTGTATCAATATTTTGAACCTTGAAAGAAACTATTTTTATTTTCACCATTATGAATCTACATTGACGGTTGTCCTTCCAGCAACCATATGGTCAATACTGTTCCAATGTTGAATTATTCTGATATTTTTGTTTCAGGCATGTACTGTGGCCAGTAGGATGCTCAATACCTTTTCTGTACTGAATTACACCTTTTCAAAAGTATCCTTCTTTCCTGTATTAAACAGTGAAGACTGTTATTTAATAACTTGGCGTTGGTGATTTTTTCACAGATCTGGTACACATATTATGTTCATGCCTTGAGGCAGAGGCAATTTAGTTTATTTGGAAATGAATTTTATTTAGAATGATCTCTTCCAGTTCTTCAGAATTAATATTGCCAGATAGCATATAAATTTCTCAAATTTGTTGAAGTGATAGCCATATAATTGTTTATGTCTAGGACCTTTTTACTGGTAAGTAGAATTGGAAAATTGAAAGGAAGAATTATATGTCAATTATCAAAAAAAAAAAAAAAATGAAAGGAAGAATACAAGGAGTACAAGGTGGAGCTGATGACCCCTAATTCTAAGTTGATTTCAACAAGGAAGCCTAGTTTCCAAGATGCCAAGGTGAAGCCAGGTGGCCGGGGAGTGCCTATATGCCTAGGTACCTGGTTAGGCAATGAGTTTTTCATGTTAAAAACCCCGAAGTCCTAAGCTGATTTCTTATTTTGTATAGTAACAAACAATCATCTACCTTAACAATTTTTCTTATCAGCAATTGTAAATTTTATTGATTATGAATAGACCTGTTCGTGGGTCGGACTGGGCTTTGCCTCTTTATCAACAGAAAATGTGCAGGCCTGAGCCTGAGCCTGAGCCCGGCCCGACCATCGGGCCTAGATCTTGAGCCCAAGCCTGGCCCTTATATAAAGCCCGAGCCCGAGCTTGAAGCCCGATCTGTACACAAAATGTCTTATTTTCAGTGTACTTTCATAAACTAATATTTTATTAATTTAGTAATAATTTAATAAATTAATAAACTAATCTGTATTTCCTAATAGTAAATTAATATTTATTAATAATTTAAGAAACAAATATATATTATATATTTTTATTATATAACATAAGTACTTTTTTATTATATGTAATAGTATCAGGCCGGGCTTATATGAAAAAACCCGAGCTTGGCTCAAAAAATGATCTGGTCTGGTATTTAAAACCCAAGCCCGAGTCCGCGGGCCTGAAATTTTGTCCAAGCTCGAAAAATAACAGGCCAGGCGGGGCCGGGCCATCAGGCTAACCGACCCATGAACAGGTCTAATTATGAAGAAAATTGAATAATTCTGTACATGAGGTGCCAAGCACAGGCATTTAAATATATTAATTTCAATATTCCAAATATAACATTGCAATATGGTAGTAGTAATTATTCAACATATCATGTTTATTTTAATAGAATAAGTCAACCAATTAAAACATGTTGAGCATGTTGTAAAGGGCCCGTGTAGCATCTTTAGATGCCTAGTCACCTGCCTTGTGGCTTAGGCATGTACCTAATGGGTTGAGTGAGCACCTTCTCTAAACACTTGGTGTGATGCGATTTAGGTAAAAAAAAGGCTATTACCCAATGTTGGTCCCAGACTCCCAGTTATTGGGATCTTGGGAGGGGCGGTAGCCTGGGTATGCTAACCCCCCAAAACTGCCATGTTACCTAGGTGCCTTGACAACTATGCAAGGAAGAGGCAAAAACCCACTCCTTGGCAAAAAACAAAAATAATGCAAGGATATAGATAAAACCAAGCTTTTCATGCCCAAAGGATCTCAAGAACCACTCCTTAAATGATCCTGACCAGCAACCAAAAGAGTGGACTAAAAGCTTGCATGAGAGCCCAGGGGACTAAAAGTTTGCATGACCAGCAACCAAACAGTTCACACTAAGAACTCCATTATAAGCCCCTCAATGAGACATGAAGGTAAAACATCAAGGCATGCCTCCCTCTTCAACCTCTGTCTCTTCCCCTAGCCACTACTCTTTCTATTTCCTCTTTTTTCTCGTTTTCCCTACAAAGCAATTCTCTAGGTGCAGTTCCATTCATCTAAGACTATTAATGCTAGGATCAGGTCGTTGTCAAACATTCATTTAGTGTTGGCTTCTACAAGTTGATAATTCAAGCACTAATAGGTTATCAATGTGCAAAAATCTTTTATTGTTATCCTAACGTATTTAGATCATGGAGGAAGCCAATTCTATGGCTCTATTGTTTTCTTTCAAGTTCCTCTCATTGGTAGGTCACCTTGAATAAAATCCTTTAGGCACTACCTAGTTGGCATTCATCTCCACCAAATAAAGGATCTTTTTTTATATCTCTGATTAGCAGTGTGCTTTATTTTTTAACCAAATCTTTTTTGGTGGATGGTCAACCCATAATCTGATTTCTGATGTGAGTCCATATGATAACTTCAAAAACAAATGGTTGTTGCATTCATATTTGCAGTTTCTTGGACATTTTTTTTAAGAGAAAGCATAATGCATTAACTGAAAAAAAGAAGTATACATGTATGGTCCTGAATAAAGATTTCTGTACAATTACCCCAGCATCAAGGACCCACAAAACTACCTATATTCAAAAGAGGTGATGATAGATCATCTCCACTAAAACAAGAACAAGAAACCAACCAACTTTTAATCATGTTGGTTTCATTATTGAGTACCACCTCCTCTGGACTAAATTTCTGTTAAAAATATCCTGCTATTCCTTTCACTCCAGGTTGCACACAGGATTGCTAATGGTACCACAGCCCAGCATGCTTGACCTTGTTTAGACATCTCTTGGACTTGCCAGCAGCCAGCCAGCAAACAAAGCCTGCACCATGCAAGAAAACATCTGTAAACTGGGACAGCCTTTCTAAAATGATGCCACACTTTAGAAGAGACAGTGTTAAAGTGTGCCAAATAGGGGTAATTTAGTCTTCTTATGCTTGTTAAGTAGCTTGCTTATGTGGCACTGTTATTAGAGTCACTCTGCCCCACAATTAAGTAAGGGCATTTTTGTCTTTGTAAAGATCATTAGAATCTAATRAAGATTAAGGGGGTCGACTGTAGGAGGAATCCAACAGATTTCRACTGACCCTTATTTTCTTTCTTCTTCTTCTCTTCTTCTTCCTCTTCTCCTTCCTTCTCTTCCTGGTTCGGACTACTGTAGCAGCATTCGAAACATGGTATCAGAGCCATGCTCCTGACCTACTTCAGTTGGTAAAGCACCTCAGTAGTGTTTGTGACTCTCCTCCTTCATTTCTAGTCAGTCTATGGAGAAAACTGGTTCGCCCTAGGTCTGGAACATCACAGGTCGTCTCTCTCTGCTGTGCATAACCTTCTTCATCAAGAAAAGTGACTTCAGAAGTGAATGGTTGGTTGATATTCTCAAAGGAAGGTTGGTTATCTCTTCTTCTTGTGTTACTGATATTTCTGGGTAGAAACCCTACAAGAAGCTACTTGTATCGATCAGAACCTAGAGAACTAGGTTCATTGTTGCCCTAGAAAGGGCTGTATGAATTATTTTCCATTTTTCAAAAATTCCATGCTGAAATACGCACACAATCTGGTGTTCCAATCAAAGTTCTCCGTTCAGATAATGGTCGTGAATACTTTCTTACTTCATTTCAACAGTATTTAGAACAGTATGGCATTATTCATCAGACCTCATGTGCATTCACCCCTCAACAAAATGGGGTAGCTGAACGGAAGAATCGTCAGCTTCTTGAAACTGCTCGGTCTATGCTTCATCACATGAATGTTTCTAAACGGTTTTGGAGTGATGCTGTACTCACTGCATGTTTTCTCATTAATCGGATGCCCTCTTTTATTCTTCATGGTCGGTCCCCCTTCTCTATCTTGTTTCCCACTTTACCTCCATTTCCATTAACTCCTCGTGTTTTTGGCTGTGTGCTTTGTCCACAATCTGAGTCCTGGAATAGACAAGTTAGATGCACGCTCAATTAAATTTGTCTTCCTTTGCTACTCTCGGACTCAAAAAGGGTACAAGTGTTATAATCCCATTACCCGAAAGTGCTATGTCTGCCCTGATGTCACCTTTTTTGAGTTTGTATCCTTCTTCTCAAGTCCTGATGCATCCTCGTCTTCACCCTCACTTCCTCTTCCTCTTCCTGTCAGTGATCCAGTTCCAGATGTTGTTGTGGAAGTAGACTCATCACCTCATCCAGTGCAGGTCACCACCAAACGACCACCGATCCGACAAGTGTATACACGTCAAACGACACCGGCCCCTCCTCCAGCTTCTACCTCATCTGCAGATCCTCTCATGGCTCCTATTACTGAACCTTCAGACCTTGACCTACCCATTGCCTTAAGGAAAGGTAAATGCAGTTCTACCCTCCATCTCATTTCCAATTTTGTTTCATTATCTCATCTTTCTACCTCACATCGCCAGTTTGTTTCACTTTTGTCCTCTATTTCCATACTTAACAATGTTCAAGAAGCTCTTAGTTCACCTGGATGGCGGGAGGCAATGGAGGAGAAACTCTCTGCTCTTCAACATACTCAAACGTGGGAACTTACTACTCTCCCACCTGATAAGCATGCTGTGGGCTGTAAATGGGTGTATACTGTGAAATACTTGCCAGATGGTAGTGTGGAGCTTCTGAAGGCTAGACTTGTTGCTAAAGGTTACTCACAGTTGTATGGAGTGGACTACATGGAGACATTCTCTCCGGTGGTTAAGATTGGTTCTGTTCGTGTACTAATCTCCCTAGCAGTTATATATGATTGGCCTCTCTTTCAGCTTGACATAAAAAATGCCTTCCTCCATGGTGATCTGGTGGAGGAGGTATATATGGAGCAACCACCTGGGTTTGTTGTTCAGGGGGAGGATGGTAAGGTGTGCAAACTGAAGAAGGCAATTTATGGGTTGAAGCAATCTCCACGTGCWTGGTTTGSGAAGTTYAGCGAAGTGGTGAAGAGTTTTGGAATGAAGCAATGCCAGGTTGATCACTCAGTGTTCAGCTATGACTCAGAAGCTGGGAAGATTTTATTAGTGGTCTATGTGGATGA